TTAAAAAAAAAAAAAAAAAAAAAAATATATGATTAGTCAGTTTAGATACTTTTGACTGATAATCTTCAAGTTAGAAAACAAAAAGGAGCATATCATGGAAATATATAAAAATATTGTTTTGACTTTTTTTACTTTTTTTCCTCTTTTAGTAAAAAACACAGTAAAGGGTACACTTATACATTTTGTAATTAAAAAAATCAGACTTTCAAGGGTTAATCAAGTTGCCCTTGTTCCTACAGAGCGTCAGCACTTTATGTGCTCTTCCATACATCTCTATTAGCTGTCATATTTTAATTTACTAGCTTTTGCTCGCGACTTCGCTTGGGATTAAAAATCTAGTAATCAATATCCTATCACTTATAATGATTATGTACCTTTGTAATGGTGAAATATTTATTTAAATTGGATCAGTAGTTTTTGAGTTTACTCATTCAAACTATGGAAATACATTGAAAGAAAAGCTTAATATGTAGTACAGACTACATAATTTAAACAAACATTTCCACTATCAAAACTTACAGTAACTATTTATGTAAAAATGGTTCATACCTGGAGGCCCATTAAAATCATTGCCCATCCCCATCCGGACACCTGAACGTGGCCCTCCAGAGTACCACGGCCCTATAAACGGCTGCCCTGTACCCATCAGCTGTGCTTGAGGTCCATGCGGTGACGGCTGGGATCCTGGATGTGGTGCTGGAGGCGACGGTCGCAGTGACGAGTTGGGGAAGAACCCTGGAGGCATACCGCCGCCTCCCATTCCTGAAACATTGTTAAAAATGTGTAGACTTACTATTGGGACATAAGTAAATCTGAAAAAGATAAGTGATAGATTTTTTTTTATATGAGGAGGTGGCAAATGAGCGGCGGGAACACAAAGGTGGTCAACGACGCCCAGACATCCGCAACACCAGAGGAACTACAGAAGTGTTGCCGGCCTTTGAGGAAATTGTAGGCTCGCTTCTTGAAGGACCCTAAGTCGTATTGGTTTGGAAATGATAGAGAACAACATACAATCCAAAACATTTAACAAGGCTGTAGTACAGTCAGCTCCAAAAAGTTTACATGAGCTTCCATCCATGCCTACAGGCATGACACATCACACTACATCAATACCAAATTTCACAGAAATCTGTACATCCGTTTAGGCTGCAAACTCTAACAAACATCCATCCATCTATCAATCTAAACTTTCGCATTTATATCATTACAATGTTACAGAAACTTTAATAGCCCTACAGTACCTAAAACATTCATGCACTTATGCATGCTTGACTAGAATAGATAGGTATTTTTCCAACTAAAGAAACAAGTTTCCTAACAGTAGTAGTGCCCGCTTTAACATCTTAGCACGAATGGACCGGCACACCCGGTGTATTACCACGACCACACAGAAGACAGGCGTGAAATGGAAGCAATTCCGTATTTCGTCTGATGAGTGTGTTGCCAGAGGCCTAATTTAAGTCCCTTTCTCTTTACCACTCTTTTCATTTAAGTAGAGGTTGGGAAGAGGAAGTGGATTTGACGGTGGAGGAGATGCATAGGAAGGGGAAATATCCTCTTTATGTGCGTCTCCTACTCTGTCGTATAAAGGTAGGCAACGCATCTGCAATTGCGGATGTCTATGGGCAGCGGTCGCTTCGCCATTTTGGCGGTTTCAGGTGGCCGCTTGCTCGTTTGCCACCTTATTATATAAAAAAAAAACCTGATAAATGTTTAAACAGCTGATTGTACAATAATCATACTAATAAAGTAAAACCTCGGTAACTCAAACCTCAATAACTTCAAAAAATAATATATTCCCTTCCCGTCGGAGCCCAAAACCTCTACAACATAGACCCTTGATAACTTAAAACCTCTATAACTTAAAGTATTTTGTGTTTCCCTTGGACTTTAACTTATCAAGGTTCTACTATACAGTACTATTATACTATAGTGAAAATTTAGATTGCTAGAGGGATGTTTGTTACAGTTTGCAGCATAAACGGCTGAACGGATTTCAATGAAATTTGGTATAGATGTAGAGGACAGTCTGGACGAACATATAAGTAACTCACTTTTGTTTTTTTTTAATTCCATTTGATTTGAGTTGCAAAATCTAGTGTTTTACATGTGAAGGCATAGATCTAATAGTGGGCAAATAAAAGTTGATAAAGAAAATCAAACAAGTGCAGGGACACTGCGATCATCTACAATGAAAATGTCGGTGTTGCCAATCTTTAAAGAGGTAATTAACTTCTTGAAGGACCCTAAGTCATATTGTTTTGGTTATACCATCAAGAACATAAGATTTCACAGTAATATCAGTTTTTTATTTATAGAAGGTTGAAATAAGGTACTCTAATTCAGTGGTATTGACTTTTAGACAAGTTTGTTGGTCTACAAACCAATGGCTCCTAAATAAACTATCATTTGTAAAGTAGGGTAGGTAGGTAGGTTTCAAGAGCAGTGTGAATCAGTACTTACTAAACTAGCACATACCATCCTTCAACCAGATCTTTTCTTTGGTCTAGGTGGGATAGTGGTCAAGCGCTGGTTTATACAAGATAAAAAAAAGTATGCAAATTTTACTAAACAAAGCTTAAAATAACATTAATAATTAAACATGAATATATTGTAGAAAAACAAAATATAGAATTCTTTTTAATTCTAATAATAAAGTAAATTTAAAAAACATATGCAAGGTGTAAATTGCAAAATCGTGACTTATGCTAGTTTACATAGGAGCCATTAATGTTGTAATAACTGCTATTCTTGTTATTCAATGATTAGAAATCTAGTAAATAGCTATATATATCTATTTTGAAGAATTGTTACAAAACAGAGGTATAAAATAGTAATTTTTTGATATTACAAAGTAAACAATTGTCACAGAATTATAAAAAGAGCTAAAAATTGATTAGAATCATCATGATTACATTGTCAAAGTTTGCGTTACAAGATTTCACTATAGTTACTATTTACACACAGAGATAAGAATATCTAATGTCCTAGAAAAGTTACATACATTGCGTTCGTAAGTTATCGGTGCTATTCTTATGTTAATAAGCGTATATAAGCATCGTACCGTCATTAGGTGGCGCCGGTCCTGCGTTGTGACCTATTCCATTCACTCCGTACCCGGAATTAACAAAACCATAGTCATGGAAAGCCTTCGCCTCTGATGAGTGTTCGCACGAGTCTCGTCTCTCAGGCGCCGCGCAATACAGATCCCAAAACACGCACCACCACGAATGCAAGAACCCTGGGGGTTCTCCGAGGGTTATATTCTTTTCCCATCGTATTTCGGAGAGAAATGTCTGTGCCGCTTTCTGCGCCCCAACGTGTAGCAAGTACTCGTACACATAAAGTGCCAACTTCTCACGAGCTTGAGCGTCCGAAGGCACTGTAGAGCCTTTGCCCTTGGCATACATATCGACTGGAAGCCGACGTTTATGTTGGAATTGTTTATTATTTACATTAACGCTTTATATCAATAAATTCAACTTCACAAAACGTCATTGATCGATGGCGACATTTGGCGTCTGTGGCATAGAGAAATTAGTTTGTTCTCATTTACGAGCAGCCAATTAACTAAACTGTCATAAAATGTTGTCTACGACACTTTTACAGGTTATTAAAAAGTTTTCAAATAGTTTTGTTAAAACTTTTTTTTACTGTAAATATTTTTAACTTTACCAATACCTAGCCAATGAGGTGTTTTATTTCTTTTGCTACTTATTTGCTATTGATGATGAAATTACTTTAAAGTATGGTGAAAAAAATCATCGCAAAAAAGCAGTTCGTAACTCGTAAAAGTAACAAAAAAATACTCTGTATTTTAAAAGTATTCCTTTGTTTGAAAATGATATCTCTTGACGTAAAATAAGGACGTTTCCTATTTTGTTTATTAACTTTGTCATTTGCAAAAAAAAAAGCCATAGACAAAATATTCCAACACCGGCAAAGAAAACAGACAAAGTTCTAACAATGTCTGTTCTTGTCTATTACCTCTTCCTTTTCGTGCGGCCGTGTCACCGCGTGGTTCACCGCCGCGTTTCTCAAAAGAAACAATCAAAATGGCTATCAGACCTGTATACAGACCAACAATCGTCAAGAAGAGGACGAAACGGTTTATTAGACATCAATCCGATCGCTATGATAAACTTAAACGCAACTGGCGTAAACCTAGAGGTAAGTTAATATTTTAACCAGAAAATACTCACGTTTCTATAACCTATATAATACACCTGAGCATCTTCACTAAAAAAAGACGATCACTTTGTAGTTTGAATATCTTCGTATTTATTAAAATTAATTTACCTTGTTTAATTTTTTTACTTAAATTTATAGGTTATCTTTTAATATGCAAGGGCACTCTGTGTTTTTCATTATTGATATGATCTCACAATTTGTTACCTTGCTATAACAAAACCATCAAACCCTATTCCGGATTACCCACATATCGTAATTTGGTCATATTGATGGTGACATTATAAATACTTGAAAATGTTTCGTGAAATGTAAACACGCTAAACCCTTGTTCATACTTGCCAGTATACTTGAACAATAGTAATTTATAACTAAACGGGTATAATGTGAATACTAACTGGCCAGTGAGTCCATAAAACCTACACTTGGCCTTCCTTACTGTCCGAGTATGAACAAGGTATAATACCTGGATTTTGACCCAATAATTAATCTAAACTAATATAAAGATGAAAGATTTGTATTTTTGTATGAATTGAAATAACTCAAAAAACTACTGGGTCGATTTTAAAAATTCTTGTGCCATTAAAAAAGCTATAGTATCAGTGAGTAACATAGGCCATTGGTCTATCACATTAAAAAAATAAGAATTTTTGAAATCTGCCCATTAGTTAAGTTATTTCATAACATAGGAAATACAAATCTTTCTAATATCAGTATAGATTTTTCAATGTCACAGGGACAAAGTCGGAGCAAAAGCTAGTTGTAAAAAATAAACAGTACTTTTTATAGATTTTATATACAAAAAGAACTAGATATATAATTAATAAGAACATATCAAATAAACTATTTTAGAAAGTATTATACATATGACAGTGTTAATATTTGTTCTACAGGTATTGACAACAGAGTGCGCAGGCGTTTCAAGGGTCAATACTTGATGCCAAGCATCGGTTACGGATCCAACAAAAAGACTCGTCATATGCTACCCAATGGTTTCCGTAAGGTTTGTTAATAACAGTTACAATACTAAAATACCACAATTTTTTTGGGCATACAAGGCATCATCATCATCACCAGCTCACTATACGTCCCCACTGAGTGGCACGGAACCTACCATAATATGAGGTGACTAGGCCATAGTCAACCATGCTGGCCAAGTGCAGATACAAGTGCCATACAAGGATCGCCTGGCGACATTCTAGACTAGGTCTATAGGAGGTAGTTAGCGTTATCTGGCCTTATTTAATAAAAAAAGTTAATATCAGAAGATGCCAGCTGTATGAACATTTGTTGCATGAATAGATCTGCTTACTCCTTTTGCATAAAATATTAAACAAAATCAGGCAAGAAGAAAAAGACAGGAATGATGTAAATCTAGGTTGTCTAGGGGTTGCATGCAGTACACTAATTTAAGTCCCTTTCCCTTCCCACACTTATAAAGAGAAGTGGATTCAATAAAGGAAGCATAGGATGGGAAAATATCCCCTACCTATGATGGATCGCCTATTACAGATGGCAATTTTTACATTTAAGACTGTATAGATAGTTGCTTTGGCATTTTAGCTATTTTGTGCCTCTTTTGCAGCTTTCTAATGTTATAAAACCTTCAGGTGCTGGTCCACAATGTCCGTGAGCTGGAGATCCTGATGATGCAGAACAGGAAGTATTGCGCGGAGATTGCTCATGGTGTCTCATCCAAGAAGCGGAAGACGATCGTAGAGCGCGCCCAACAGTTAAGCATTAGAGTGACTAACGCTGCCGCCCGTCTTCGCAGCCAGGAGAACGAATAAACCTAATAAAATTATATATAAAAACCTATTTGGAGTTTTTATTATAGTAAACTAGCTGTACCCTTGCGACTTCATCCGCATAGAATTATGAAAATTTTATTTTATTGTTTACATTTGTCAAATTGTCAATTGCAAATGTTAAAATAACATGACATGACAAAACTTGGCAATCTTGCTTCGTTGTCGGCAGCAACTTACGGTCTCTTTCGCACATTAGGGTTTTTATCCAAAATATTTACCTCCTAAGTTTAATAGCGTGAAAACATTTAGCCTAAAGTGTGACGTAAGTGTAGGGCTTCTTATGAAACAGAATTATTCAAAAATATGCTGTTATTAGAGCTTAATAGAGCTTCGGTGGCTCAGTGGTTTGAACACTTGACTTGTAATCTACAGGTCTTGGGTTCGAATCCCGCCGTGTACCAATGTGATTTTTGTGATTTTTCGAATTTTCATATGTACATAATTTACCCGACGTTATTACGGTGAAGGAAAACATCGTGATGCAACCTGCACATATCGGCGAAGAAATTCAAAAATATGTGTGAAGTCAACCAACCCGCACTTGGCCAGCGTGGTTGACTATGGCCTAGTCACCCCTTATTAGGGTAGGCTCCGAGCCCCTCGGTGGGGACGTATAGTGAGCTGGTGATGATGCTGTTATTGCTGACATCTTAGGCAACAAAGAAGTGTGTGTTTACGCTTTATTATAATAGTATAGATGTTACCCTTATAAATGTATTCGATTACCTTTGTCACGACTCCGTCAGCGAGGAATTTAAAAAACTTAGAAATCAGTTTGTGGTCTTTCAGATGTTCTATATCGTATGTCATCGAGATCTGTTGAGCAGTTTAGGTTAGACTTTTTTTTATAATCAAGGGGGCAAACGAGCGGCGAGAATACCAAGGTGGTCAACGACGCCCAGACATCCGCAACACCAGAGGAACTACAGAAGCGTTGCCTTTGAGGAAATGATAGGCTCGCTTCTTAAAGAACCCTAACGTATTGGTTTGGACTAACTACCATCCGTCCAAACTTTCGCATTAATGCTTTTAGTAAGATTTTGCTAACGACTTAATCGGCGCAAAATAGTTACTTAGTGATGTTTTCTTTCGGTACAAAGTTTTGGAATTTCATTTAATAGTTTTTGAGTTTTCTTTGTACAATCAAAATCTTTCCTCTTTATTATAGTAGGCTAGTAATATGTTAAAGAAAGAATAGACAAACTAATAAGGTTTTTTATTGCGACTTGAAAATATATAAAAATACACAGAAATAAAATGTAAAAACAAACAGGACCACTAGTAATCTTGAGAATGTAATTATTGCATTTGAAATAAAAAATGTGAAGGTTTATTATTTTTTTATGAAAAAACTTTGTTCAAATAACTTGATTAAATTCAAGACTGCTGTTGCCAACGTCCATACCATGTTGAATACACCGGTTCTCGTCCGATCACCGAAGTTAAGCAACATTGGGCGCGGTCAGTACTTGGATGGGTGACCGCCTGGGAACACCGCGTGACGTTGGCTTTTTATTTTTATTGCTATTTTAAAATAATCGTTTTTTTTACATTAATCATATTTTTCCATTTAAATTACTATTCTTTTTGGTTCTAACGTTTATTTATATTTAACTGAAATTTAAAAAATACTCATTAGTTTTAATTTTGCTATAACGATTAAATAGATGGCGTTGTTTCAAAGAATCACTTTCTTTTAGTACTATCAGAAAATTATAATCGTTTTTACGGCGTAAATAATATTGATAAGTAAATAAAAACTTTACATTACTATGTAAACAAAAGTACAGCGAACTTTTCGGTTTGTCGATCTTTCAGTGCGTGACATCGGTCGCGTGTTGCGCTGTAGTAACGAAATTCTAACTGAACCACTGTCAAAAAGGATGGCGTTATACCATATATCAACAGACATTTTTAAAAATAGCCTTTAATTAAAAACTATACATAACAGGTAGAATGAGAAAAGACACATCAAAATTACCAAGCTAGTTAGCTGAGAGACGAAATTACATAAAATATCCCAACGCGCCTTACTTATCTTTTTCGTTATAACAGCTAAAACAATGAATACAAGATAAGAAATACACTAAATTCAAATTTAATTGTTCTATTGAAATGGTTCTATGTTACACAATACCATTCCGATGGCAGATCATTGGCGAAATGCTGTGGTTGTTGTGATTTCATTTTTTACGATGCACGCTCGACCGTACCAAGTACGGCTTGTTAGAGTGCACAGGATGTTCCTTTTTACATTTCAATATATTGAAGAGACAGTATACCCGAACACAGTATTAATATACACTCTTATATTAAAGTTTCTAACAAAATTAGTGTAGTATGTAAATTGAACTGTTGGTTTTTTATGCCGTAACACGTCATAAAATAGTTTGTCTCAATTTTTTCACAGAGAACAAGAGGGAGAGATGATATGTTCTTATACAAAGTTATTTGACTGGAAGATAAAAGAAATACTCTGGATCAGATCACCCTGTAACTCGGTTACAGTACGAAAACTAAACGGCGAAATTGCCGTAGAAAAGGCGGAGTCATTGTGCAGGCCGCAAGCCCTTTTGGTGAGTATTCTTGATTCTTCTGTTTTAATAAATACCTAATTAACGCGTAATATTGACGTCCTGTTAAAATACAAAACTTGCTATATTTTTAACGTTTAGATCTGAAATTTCCTAACATTTGTAACATGTTAATAGTTTCGGTGCACCTTCATTTGCTTCTTCAACTTGTGAACCATTGTTTTTCCGGATCTTTCAAAATCACTAGTAAAGATAATGAAAAGGAAACTTGACTACGCGTTATCACCCCTTATTTAGGGTAGACTTAAAATTTTTCTTTGGGATATATAGCAAGCTGATGATGATAATGATTAAAAAAATATAATGTAGTTGATACCTTTCTGGGGTTGTCAGTTATAGAAAGTCGTGTTTTTTCTGGGGTTTAAAAGGTTTTAAATTTAGCAGATTTTAACTGCATTATTACATATTGTTATTCTTTACATTCTTTATCATAAAAACAAGGACAACACTTCAGCATAAGTAGTAAACATTCGGGTTAGAACAGAAACAAGTCACTTATTCTTATTTCCTAGAAGTCGGAAAGGGAAGCTGGCATCTACTTCATACAGTCATCCCTTTCATTCTGCTTGAATAAAACAAGGACAACGCTTCAATATAAGTAGTGAACTTACATGGTAAAACAGAAGCTAGTTATTTATTCTATTGTTCTATATTCTAGAAGCTGGGAAGGGAAGCCGGTAATATGGCATTAAAAGTACTACAGCAGAACGTGCCGCGGTTACCGCGAAGCCATAGTGTAAGGTTCTCCAGTGATGAATTACCAAGATACAAATCTCTAGTTAGTAGCTTTTATCTTCTTATTTTAAGTATTAAGATTGAATGTTAGCATACATAGGTAGGAGACCGAAGAAAGTATGTATTGTGTGAAAAATATGCTTAAGGGAGTTTTTCAGATATGAGCTGATAGATGTATGGAAGCAGATATTGTGCTCTCCGTAGACACAAGGGCAACTTTTATCTCGTGTTATCAGTGCCGATGTTACCGGGCATAATTGTGCCCAGGGCGGACAGACAGGCTTGACGGAAAGGGGCGTAAATAACAGCCTTTTAACTTCCGCCCCAAAACATAGTAAAGTAGAGTGCCGTAGTAGTCTCTCCCTTGTGGGAGCGTCTACGCTATAACACTATAGTTGCACTAAAACCGGTATTGTGTGCAAAAGAATTAAAAGACACCGTATAATTGGAGTCCAGTTACCAGTCTTGTCGACCGACTAGAGGTTGAGGTTTTCACGTGTATGTTAGTGTGTTTTTGTAGCATAAAAGGTTGAACGGATCTCGATGAAATTTGGCATAAATGTAGAGTACAATCTGGAAGAACACATGGGCTGTTTAGTTTTTTTTAAATCCCATGACAGGGTCGCGGGCGAAAGCTAGTACAATATAATTTAAGTATTCTTCTTAAAGCTTCTTTAAGTGACATAATATTCCAGGATTCCACAGAGTCGAGTAGCCCATACAGCGGGAGCTACCCTGGTCCTGACTCCGGCGCTCACAGTCCTGATGCCTGTCACTACCAGCCGGCCGCACAACGGTTCCGATTTAACGAACAGAGTATGTAGTGTATTCAAAAACTTTGTAGAATATGTCACGAAATAAGATTGATTTATCTATACTGATATCATAAAGGGGAAACATTTATTTTTGTATGTATTGAAATAAATGAAAACTTATTGTGCGGAGTAGAGAAATTCTTTCACCATTAAAAAGCTACGTTATCAGTAACATAAGCTATGTTTTTGCTATTTTTGAATTCCACGAGGGCGCAACGGCGGATACAGAGGGGGGTCATGACATCCCTTGAGCTGATTGGTCAAGAGCTTGACAAAATATATTTAATTTTGTCAAGCTCTCGACTTGACCACGACTATGTGACCCCCCCCCCCCTGAAGCCAAAGCAGGATCCGCCCTTGCGAGGGCGAAATCACGAGCAAGAAGTTAATTCCATTATAATCTATATTTGTAACTATCTGCGATAACTTGTAATTGGTCTTCAGTTTATTGTTTCTTTTTTTATAAGTTAGCTATAAGTTATCCATAAATAAATAAAATAAACAGATAGTATGTAATATTGTATATTTAATAGAATTAAATAATTTTCAGGAATCAAACTCTTAACTTCAATAAATCAAATAGTACAGCAACGAGCTGACCTTGAAAATAACCGCGCGACGCTCACTGGCCTTCTAGAAGAACTGAAAAGAAAGCTCAAGAGAAGAGTAGAAGAATGTCATCTAGAAAAGAAGGAGAAAATGAAGGTTATTACATTTAAAGTAACATTTAAAATACATTTTAAAACAGAAGAATAAAAAATAAAACTTCCTATATAGTTATTAAGATCTGTTGATTACATTATACATAACCTATTTTGATTGATTTATTTTAAAATCGAAAATAACGCCATCTATTGTTAAATTAATAAAACAAAATAGTAAATAATTATACATTTTTCACTATTGATTAATAATGATTTTATTACATATCGTGTATACTTCGACTAAGAAATTAAAACATACTTTCTGATGAAAAAAATATTACCTCTGTGAAAATTCTATCAATTATCAATATAACGAATTCGAAACTGTTAATTTTAAACCAAAGATAACTCTACAAAGTCATTATCCTGAACAGGCTTTGAAAAACGCAAATCAAAGACTGGAAAAGGAGAAATTCAGCATAATATCTGAGATAGAGCATTTGAAGCGACACCTGGAGAGAGAAGAGGCTCACCACGTGCAGCACGCAAGGAACGCTGTCGCACAGGTATAAACGTCAAATCCCATACATGGCGGCCATTACATTTACGTTTTTTAATTATTTTGTGAACATCGTGTGATAAAGTGATGTGATATAATAAAATGAAGATAGCTGATGTTATATTCTTATGTGTAAAAAGAGTTTTTACTGAAATATTTTAGGATTAACGTGATTTAAAAGAAATTGTATTTTGTCTATGGTTTAACTTTTAAATTGAATCCGGCATCCGTTCAGACTTTTTAAAATTAGAATGTTGTTAATTAAAAAAAATACGGTTTCCAGGCTATTCAGGGCGTTACCAAGATGCCACCAGAACAGCTGTTCACGCCGTGTTCCGTGACGGAATTGCCTAACATCGTCAGTCGGAATGTAGCGAAAAATGCTCCATCCAAAATAGTAAGTACCAAATCCTCATTGCTAAAACATAGATAATGAAGTACAATTTATAAATGTAGGTGTTTCGGTTGTGAAAATTCACATAGGAAGTGTTTTTATTTTTATTTTATCGTTTTTAGGCAGATAATAAATTAGCGGCTGCAAGATTGATGCGTGATATCGCTGATTTGAGACAGCGAGTCGCTCAAGTGGAGGCCAGATTGGCTAACGAATTAAAGGTATGAATTAATAATGATTTTAGTAGGGATGGGTTGTGTAAAATCACTCATGAAACTTATCGATTTTCGATTTTTATTTTATAAAAGTTGGAATCGATAGATTCGTAGTTATAACTTATAAATAAAAAAAACACTGTTTTTTTTAAATAATAATGACCATTACAAATAATGGGAGTAAATAAATCTTTGTTACTACTACATCCGTACGTAATCGAATTGCATTTCGCTATTATTTCTGTCATCGCTAAATTCTCTTCGCTATAATCAATACTAGAATTGTCCTCTACCTTAGTTAATAAACAAATAATAATTTTAGTTGAGTTCGATAATTATTTAAAGCGAACATCGATAGTTCATAATTTTGTTCGCTGCGTGTTTGTTTCGTCAGCACGATACCTGTCCATTAAGTATGGCATTTACCTTCATACAAATTGAATTCGATACTTCATATGCGTCATTTATCAAACTAATCTATCTTATTTAGACAAACTATAAATGTGTTTTTAAATACTTATAATAGGCCACATAAAAAAAAGAAAAAAATGCCTTTTGTGTTTCCCAGATTGAAAGTAAGTTTTGACAGCTATCATTGCATTGCGGTTAGGGATGTGCAATGTGAACCTACGAATCGGAAACCCGATTTCCCTTTCTAAGAGCGTGCGCTCTGAAACAAAACTATCGCACAACTGTTTAATCTTGCTTTGTTACAGCTCATATGCAGGTGCGAACACTACTCGATTTTTAGTTGTACAAAACAGTTGAGGCTACAAAACAGTCGAACATCAGTTATGCGATAGTTTTTTTTTTATAATACGAGGAGGCAAACGAGCAAGCGTGACCTGAATCCACCGAAAAGTATAGACAAAGATGTGCGCACGCATTACCAAAATTGAACTTTTACTTTACTTTGGGTAGAGTAGGATATTGTGTGTAATTTTAGGTTATTTTCTAACATCAGACGTTCGAATATAACATATCACTATTATTTAGTTGGTAAGAGTAATAAAATCCATCAGTGTATTTCCAGCGTAAACGGCAGGCTGAGAACGACATTATTCGACTGAGAAAAGAACTTTCGTCTACCAAAAGTTCTGTAGCGGCTCTTCGCATCGCGCCCCAACCAGCGAGAAAGACATGCTCCAAGTTTGCCTAAACTGGCTGTTAAGAAAAAAATATATCTAATGTTATTTTAGTTTTAAAAATAAAACTCTTATGTCACAAATCAAATTTATTCAAACAGATTCGACAAACAATTTAACCCTAAAAGGGATTGATTTCGCTTCGTTTCTAAAATTAAAAATACGCCACACCATTTGAAATTTGGGATCGCATTTCAAATATTATTCCGTGCACATGTTGTTTATTCACGAAACACTATTTTAAACAAGATCACAAATTAAGTATGGGTACTTTTGAATATTTTAAGAAGCGATTTCTAATTTGTATAAGTTGATAAAAAATAAATGTCTGTCAAAATTAATGGTTCGTTATTCTAGGAATAATTGCTTCCAACATCCAAATTTCGTCAACAACGCCCATACGGCTGTAATTTCAAACTTTTACCGCTGCGAGACCATAGACAACATCTAACATTTTTGATGTGTCAAAAAATGTGATTGAAGACTGCGTTGGCTTTTGAATATTTTCATACATTTCTGACATTGGAATATCGGCTGGCCCGTGTGCGATCTCATATGTTTGTCCAATAACTCCCTAGTTTTCAAATCCTTGCCGCATACAGTGCATGTGCAGTCCAAAATCTCGCCATGAACAGTATTTATATGATGTGCAAGATGTTTCGGCACAATGTACTTCTTCGGGCAATGACTGCATTGATATTTTTTTGGATACTTCACGTATGTCTGTGTTCTTGATAAGTTGTCTGTTTTCGATAGAGATGGCATTATTTTAGCTCCTGTTGATAATCTGTGTAAAAAAATTATTACTGTAAAGGTTTAACGTGACAATTGTATATAATTAATGTATTAACAATAATAAATGAATATTTTAAAAAATACAGATCTTTTATCTGTATTTTCCGATTAATTGATTCACATCCCTATCATGTGTCATCTGTCAAAACATTATTGTGCCGCATTTTAAAAGTAAAATAAAAAAGCCTTACTTGTTTCTTCCTTTTAATTTTGTTTTGGCGTGCGTCTTCATGTGTTCTGACATTTGGCTCATGGGTAACCTCATATTACATTTTTTACAAACGCCATAAGTTTCGGCGTTTTTCTTGCATCGAGAACATATAAATTTCTTGACGCCCTCAAACGGGACGATCATTGGGTAACGTTGATTACAAACACTACAAGATACGTTGGCTTTCTTAGTTTTAACGTTCGTTTCGATATATCGTCGTTTCTCGGGGCGTTTCTTATCATGATCTGTGGTCGATTTGGGCTTTGAATCTTTCGTTGTTTCTTTTTTTGGACAGATAAATTCACTGTCGAATTTTGTATTTGAGAACATTTTATGAAATGTTGTTTTTGAGCCGTTACTCATTTGACCTGTTGGAAATCATGAAGTTAGAAATAAGAAGGTAATCATCATCAACCTGCTCTAGTCCCTACGGAGGGTCGGCACAGTATGTGCTGCTCCATACATCTCTATCTGCCGTCATATCTGAATTCACTCCTTTCTTACGCATATCCTTTTTCATACAATCCATCCATACTTTCTTCGGTCTTCGTATACCATTGTAGCCATCCACATTCAATCTTACTTGTCTATGTGATGTCAATAGAGACATGGTTTTTAAATTTATCACTTACTTTCGCTTTGTGGCTTCACAAAAGCAGCGTTCACCATATTCCTAAATCTTTTCGCGTTTCGTAATTGATGAATACAATTTTCACATATCATGCAGTCTAATCTTGGTACCTGAAATAAATGCAAACGTAAACATACAATGCACCAACACCTTGCTGAAGTTTTCAAAGTTTAAAAACAAACAACTCGTTGTTTGTGTTAAGTATGTAATTCCATCTCGTACAAATATATGGTCTATATGACCATTTAACAAATTTTTACAATTGTACTGGTTTTAGCAACTGTTTTGAACCAGAGATTGGTCAGGCTTCGACTCTTTAATTAAATTTAAAAAGAAAAACACTCACTTCAACGCCAAAGCACTCGTTGAGCATCAGATCGTACTGTTCCTCTATACCATTCCAGTTGTAGGTGCCCCTGAAGCGGCGCAAATCGCTGTCGCCACCGCACAAATGGCAACACAGAACGGGCACCGACCCGCAGTCCCCCGTCGCGTTCGCATGGACCATCACCGATTCCTTAGTCAATACAGAACAAGAATTATTATAGCAAAAGCTTGACAGTGGCTCAGGTTATTGTTCAGAGCAGATGTTTGAAGTTGAGAAAACTGTTGCCTTGAATAGTAAATTTTAACCGAGACAGCTAGCGAATTTTGGGTACAACATACCATTATCCTGAATCACAATGTTGCGTCGAAATATTAAAATATTTTTTTTAATATCTGTCCTGAACTCGTCAGTTGTTTTATTTGTTTGTTTTTTATTTGAGTATTTCAAGAACAACTATCTTGTCGTGGGAAAACTGTGATGTAGATAGCTTTGATTTGAAAACGAGCTACGAACTACAAACAGCTGAAATAATTTACCGTGCTGAATATTTTAAGTAATCTATCTTTTGACCATATAAGATCCATATTAAAAACTGTAAATTCAAGTCTAAAAGATGTCGATTGTAAAACTTAGGTAATTTTTCTGAGCAACATTATTCTATAACGCATGTCATATCCTACACAGCTTTCATGACATTACATTGAAATAAAAAGTAAATAAAATTCCAATTGTCATTTTAAAGATTTACAAGAAAATGTACACAATATCGTATCAGTAAATACTTCTTTAAACATTTTAAATCATATTTAAATATGCTTCATCCTGTTTTCGATAAAATAATTATACAAACCAAATTAACGTCCGGGACCCTCACTTTGAGAAGCTAAATATAATTTTAACTACCATAATATTTTAATTTTCCCTCCATTTGTTAAAACGCCATTGTCTGTGGTTAGTGTTTTTGACATTGACGGGGGAGCGAGTTAGAGATGACAGGGCTATCAGTAATCAAATACTTCCCCAATTTTAAGCAATTTTTTTCCGTTGCATACAAATTACAAATCAAGATTTAACATTAAAAGAGCAAAATTATGCCCTGTTTAGGTTTTTAAGTAGTAGTCGATTATAATTTAAAAACATACTTACGTACAGCCTACAGGTTGAAGTAACATTTTTTATTATGTCCAAGACTTTATCTCTACTGCTACTCTATTTTATCTCTCGGAAAAACTATGACTATATGTTCATTTGTTATCAGAGTAGAAATGAAGGACCAAATATACCTGAATATCTCGTTTTAGAAATGCAATCTTTGTCTCTATGGGAGGGATAGTTTCCCGCCATTTCAGCAATTTCGCCCGGTATTCCCTATAAGCTATGCTTCCTTCATTAAATGCCCACAACATTTATTCCGAGATGGAGGCAAAAACAATCCTATCAAAAGCCAATTCAAGGTTATTAAAACAAAAACGTCATCAGTTACGATGGATATTTTATTTTAAAAATATACATGTTTTGTTACAAGGCAGTTTTTTTTAGTAATGGTAATATTTACCATTCGCAATTGACAGGTGTCAAACTGTTCCTCTTATTACTAAAAAATCTGCTTGTCTTTAAAAACAAGTTCTCTAGCACTACTCTTGAACAGTTTTTGCGCGTTATTTTTCACGGAATTCAACAAAAACCATACGAAATTCACGAAGCGGTCAACTGTAAACGCTCCCAAAATGACAATATTAGTTCACATTTTTTTCCGAATGTCACCAGTCTTATATATTTCAAGGCGGATTAGGTATTTTCTCTACTTTTTTCTTTTTTCCCCTTTTTGGAGTGACAAACTTTGGTGATATCCCATCTTCTTTAGCAATCTCGTTTAAAATTCGATTTAAAGTCCTTCTTGAGACTCCCGTAGCTTCAGCTACTCGGTCTTGTATCTTTTTGAAATAGTTGCTTTCTCTGTTCGATTTAAATAATTCAGCTTCATTCAGGAAATATTTATAGACGTTATAAATGATTTCACGAGACTGGCCTTGCAAAGCCTTGCCCTTTTTAATGTTGGAATCAGATGCCATTATAAGAAATTAAAATTAGGTTTGGCAAAACAAAAATAACCTAGCCGAATCTCACTTTTCACTAAATGTCAAATTGAACTGTCTAATAGACGTGAGCGTTATTTCACGTCACTAGTTACAATAACCTGTGACGAGATATGTAACGGCGTCACTAGTTTCGAGTCAAATTGAAAGTAGTGATTTTTGTAACTACTTAACTCGGGCGTGTTCGGCT